TCATTCGTAAAATTTTTCAGCTATCAAAAATAATAGCTGCTGAATTGGTTGGCAACAAAATTTCTCAATGAATTAGCAGAATTATAGAAAATGTGTCAAAGCAGCTTTGGCGCACAATATGTCATTTTGACACTAAACCTGTCTCTCACATGTCAATTGAATTAAAAACAATTATTTGACGCAATTCATAATGGAATGATGCAAATGTTTTGCAGATCCTCTTCACGTCATCTTTATACCTTTTCGATGCTACAGATTTGTCTGGCCTCATCATACCGATGATTCTGATATTTTTTCTTTCTTCTTCTTCATCTTTTACATACCATATTTGGTTTTGGATGACTGAGGCGAATTTAAATTGATAACAGATTCAACAGCAATCTCTACTGCACCAAAAACTGCTGTCGCTGTTTGCTACTCGTATATGGGAGCTAAACGAATTCTGTCGAGTCAGAATGATAGGTTGGCAATTAATTGCTGTCCATACTCGCAGATTAAAACGAATCGGCTTACTTATTTTTTTGCGAGTACATATCGCCGGATGGTCTAAGGGCCCATTAACAGCCCTAAACGAATTTCTAGCCTGATAAGGCATTAGTCTTCTTGAAGTGCCGCTAAAGCCAAGTCACGGGAAGCGCGTACGCGTCCCGAAAACTAAAGTGTTAATTTTTTATCCCGGTCGGAAGGAACGTGTCGGCCGGGCCGGGCGGGCGCGTAACAGAAATTGGCAGCGATGCCGGCCCAGAAGATTTACAGTGCGCCCAAATTGAAGCTATTTATTCCGCCGGAGCATGTTTTATTTATTATTTAGCCGAGGAAATAGATCTGGATCCCCTCTGGAGGAAGCCCGTTGTTAATGGTAATCCCGGGGGACGAGAACCGCCAGCGGTCATTTGAACTGGAGGGCTTTATTATATCGGACGCACTGATTCCGGACAAAAAAGATACACTGACCCTTAGAGACGTACTAACACGAACCAATATTTTGCAGGCCCATTTTAGAGTCTTATCAAGATGTCGTATACAGGGTGTCCCAGAAGTCGACGTCAAGCCGAAACCGGGTGATGCGCAAAGTCATAACAGCTATCAGAAAAATATTTAAAAAAATTTTATGTATGTGTTTTGAAAATTATAGGTCTTTGAAAAAAATTTAGAAATTTCACACCCTACGGCAGTCTGTCAACTTCTGTTAATACAATAAATAATGCATCTTCAAACTGGTGTCTCAACCTTACTGCCAACTTTTCTCGTTCAGGAAAAATTGCCACTTATTTCCCACCCAAGTATTCCAAAGTAAAACTTTGCTCAACTTTAACTGGCTGCACTGGAAAAAATGTACTACGAGACTTTGGCAAGTAACCTTAAAAGTTGGCGCATTTAATAAGGATTCCAAAATGGTATAACACTTAGAAGATTACTCGTTAACTTATACACAATTTTTATTTGAAGAAAAACTGATGAAAATTTTTCAAAATTTCCTAATTAAACAGCGATTATGAAAACGCACAAGGACCCTTAAGGATAACTGTTTGCACAACAGTGGGCGTCAAAATGCTGCTGATGATGATTTACCTTTACAGCAAATGCTCAAACTGTTTTCCTTCAGCCGCAATACACGCTCGACATCTTCTTAAAAAAGATCGGGTTATTAAACGAGCGAATCCACGGTTATTGACAAACTCAGCTGCATCCAATAGTATTTGCCGTAGCTCAACTACATTTTGAATCGGCTTGAAATACACTTTTTCTTTTACAGTTCCCCAGTAAAAAAAATCTAACGGATTCAAATCTGGTGACCGGGCTGGCAACAGTATTGTACCAGACCGCCCTATCCATCTGCCTGGAAAGTTTTGATCGAGATACTCTCTCACTGAGAGTGCATAGTGCACTGGGCAGCCATCATGCTGAAACCACATGTACAATACTCAGTGGCACGTCCTCCAATAAATTTTCTAAATGATTTTGCAAAAAACCTAAATAAACCTCAGCAGTCAAAGTCTCTGGGAACTCAAACGGACCGATTATTTTACCATTCAAAATTCCTGTCCAATGGTTTATCTTGAAGCGATATTGAGATTTATCTTCTCTCATCAAATGTGGGTTTGCTACGTGCCACTCGTGTAAGTTATGCAGGTTTATGTACCCATCTTTCTTAAATGTGGTCTCATCTGACCATAACATTTTTTCAAAGAACCGTGGATCTTCCCTGTGTCTTTCTAACATTGTGCGACAAAAAGCAACTCGGGGCTCATAATCCCGGGGCAGAAGAGCTTGAACACGCTGTACGTGGTATGGATGGAGCACGTTTTTTGGCAAGATTCTATGGGCTGTACTTTTGGGCACACCTGTTTTTAGTTCTATTGCACGCACTGAAGTACTCGGGTCTTCTTCGACAGCTCCTAGCACCACGTCTTCGTAAGGAAGGAAAGATCTTCCCTCGCCGTGTGATTGGTTTGGTAGTTGGCCCTCTGAGAACAGTAAGCGGTGCACATTTGTGAACACTCGATGATCTGGATGACGAGTTGCATTCGGGTACCTCTCACAGTAAAGTCTCGCTGCGGCACCAGCGTTGCATCTGCATTCCCCATAAATTAGGTGCATGTTAGCATATTTTTGTACGGTATACACGGACATAGCGGCACTGCACAATCACACTATCAAAGATAGTCTAAGGAAAGCAAATGTTATTTTGAAGAGCAATTAAACAGTCCAAATCCAAATCACAAGCGATCAACAGTCCAATTCACGACTCCAAAATTAGTAACAGTACGAAATCAACAAGCACGAACATGTAAAGATGCGCAGTAAACGAAGGAGTACTGATCGGTATCAAAGTGTGCAATAGCAAGTAAGTGATGTGCTTCATCCATACCACATACAGCGTGTTCAACCTCTCCTGCCCCGGGATTATGAGCTCCGAGTTGCTTTTTGTCGCACAATGTTAGAAAGACACAGGAAAGATCCACAGTTCTTTGAAAAAATTTTATGGTCGGATGAGACCACATTTAAGCAAGATGGGTACCTGAACCTGCATAACTTACACGAGTGGCACGTAGCAAACCCAGATTTGATGAGAGAAGATAAATCTCAATATCGCTTCAAGATAAATCATTGGACAGGAATATTAAATGATAAAATAATCGGTCCGTTTGAGTTCCCAGAGACTTTGACTGCTGAAGTTTATTTGGATTTTTTGAAAAATTATGTACAAAATTTATTGGTGGACGTGCCACTGAGTATTTACAGGGACATGTGGTTTCAGCATGATGGCTGCCCAGCGCACTATGCACTCTCAGTGAGAGAGTATCTCGAACAAAACTTTCCAGGCAGATGGATAGGGCGGTCTGGTACAATACTGTTGCCAGCCCGGTCACCAGATTTGAATCCGTTAGATTTTTTTTACTGGGGAACTGTAAAAGAAAAAGTGTATTTCAAGCCGATTCAAAATGTAGTTGAGCTACGGCAAATACTATTGGAAGCAGCTGAGTTTGTCAATAACCGTGGATTCGCTCGTTTAATAACCCGATCTTTTTTAAGAAGATGTCGAGCGTGTATTGCGGCTGAAGGAAAACAGTTTGAGCATTTGCTGTAAAGGTAAATCATCATCAGCAGCATTTTGACGCCCACTGTTGTGCAAACAGTTATCCTCAAAGGTCCTTGTGCGTTTACATAATCGCTGTTTAATCAGGAAATTTTGAAAAAATTTCATCAATTTTTTTTCAAATAAAAATTGTGCATAAGTTAACGAGTAATCTAAGTGTTATACCATTTTGGAATCGTTATTAAATGCGCCAACTTTAAAGGTTACTTGCCAAACTCTCGTAGTACATTTTTTTCCAGTACAGCCAGTTGAAGTTGAGCAAAGTTTTACTTTGGAATACTTGGTTGGGAAATAAGTGGCAATTTTTCCTGAACGAGAAAAGTTGGCAGTAAGGTTGAGACACCAGTTTGAAGATGCATTATTCATCATTACATTGTAAAAATAAAATCGAAAAAAAGTTAATATTTGTAGTAACAGGAGTTGACAGACTGCCGTAGGGTGTGAAATTTCTATATTTTTTTCAAAGACCTATAATTTTCAAAACACATACATAAAATTTTTTTAAATATTTTTCTGATAGCTGTTATGACTTTGCCTATCACCCGGTTTCGGCTTGACGTCGACTTCTGGGACATCCTGTAGAAAAAGACATAAGCACACCTTCTACCTCATATCGTATTTATTCTATCTTTTAGATAAAATATCTAGAGCACCATGGCTTGAAGAGGGACAGGCAGTGCTGTTTCAATTAAATAGAAGAATCTAGAATAAAATCGATTGATTTGTTCACAATAATCGCCCGAATAGAGAATCGAAAAACACGACTGGTTTTTGACATTTCTTGACGGGCATGCGCCTTACACTAACATTTTTTCAGTATAATTATACCGGATGAACTCATTTATTATTATTATTAATCCTTGAAATTTAATTAAGAAAGTTTTGCCACATAATGCATGCGCTTTAATTTCAACAAACATAAAATAATATCAAGTTGCCTTTGGAAACAACAGTTTGTTTATTTACTTTGTCAGTTGACATTTATTGATTTTGAAGTTTTCGCTTTAAGATTATAGATAAGAAAAAGCATCTACAACTTGGTTGGATGGGTACCCAAACCTGAAATCTGTCGAATATTCCAGCATTTCCAACTTCTAGCAGGGGTATATATCAACCTTTTGTAGGAAGAGTGACGGGTGAAGCTTTGGATAGTCAGAGCTGTATTGATAACTGCCTTTCCAAATTGCTTCCACAAACACCAAGCTAATGACCGTACGATGTTTTGTATAGCAGAGTAGTATAGTTTAGTCAAGTATAGAGTTGGGTGTCTTCATAAAAAAATCTTCCGATAAATAATTCGTGCCAAACTTTCAGGACATACGTTATCACAGTCGTTCCCTTCAATCTTTTCTCCACCTACAGCTATATGCGGAGGTACCCAAAGTCGATCAATCCCTACCTCCTGCAGCATCCCGGATCCCCAATACCGACGAGGGTTTCGGTCTGGGCCGCTCTTCTTCCAACACTATCTCCTTTTCCCTCTTATACAGATGAAAGATGGTACCGGCACATTTTAGTCTCGCTTTACCGTTTTGGAATGTATCTTCGTCTATATCTAATTCTAGTTGCGAGAACGCCACCATAGGCGTGCGACGGGGATTCACGGAAGTCGCAGATGCGGAGGGGACGGTGTTCTGCAGCTCCGAGGGCGTGAGAAGGCGTTGGGAGCTCTGAGGTATCTGAAAGAAAAGAGCTAACGATAACGTATTATGACAATATGAGCGTCAACTGGCTTGATTACACTTTCCATGCAATGCTTTCATCAGTTCATAGACGATTAGATTCTGAGAAAGATATAAAGCAAAAAATTTAATGTATCAAGTCAGTCAAACAGGCACATTTAACTGAAAATTGCGTTATCAAGATTTTTATTTTGAATTTATTACTGCCTCCGTGTTTTAGTTTCGTTTGTTATGTGTAACGGTTTTACCAAGGCTCATAGGAGATAGAATGTTACCTGTAGTGTTGCTAATAATCTGTGTTTACCACATTTTATGATTTAGCTGATAAAACCGGCCATCATTACTATTATTATTGAGAACTCACATCAAGTGAAGTATGAATTTTTGTTTATATTGAACAAGCGTCTTAGATTTCGTGTCAATACCTATGTAACGATTCACATGGATATGGAATACGAGAGAATGCCAGGTTGAATGCCTGTCGGGCTTTTTTAAGTTGGAGATTATCGTCTAATCAATCTAAGCTCTCACTCCGGTTTCTCGATAATCCTCAATTGCGAAAATGGAAAAAGGGTAAATTATCATGACCGACCGGATCAAAGTGAAAAGAAGAAAACGAATTTCACTTTAAATTATATCGAGAGAGAAGGGCGAAAATACATTAGAGATTCAAGCTCGGGATAATAACGAAATTCTTCAAGTTCTTTTCAACGCGAAATTGGAAAGAAATATAGCAAACTGGCGCGCGGACGGACCTTTCCGTCTGTTCAGAATTTTAAAATGAGTCGAACAGACAGGAAACCATTTAGAAGTAGTTTGAATGGTACCGGCAAGCGCTCGAACTTTACTCGGATGCTGATGCGAATTTGTCCTGCTTGGTTTATTAGAAGAAAAGTCCTTTGTCTGCGAACGTCGAGCGCTGTACATGGTAAATAAAACTAGAACAACTATCATGGATGAAAATTTATCAAGCGATACATCATAGTGCTTCGGTGTTGTCAACAGTATAACAGTACAGAAAACCTAGACAGAACGCCCACGTTTGCGAAAAAGCTGTAAGTACCACTTTGCATCAATGCTACTCATTATTTCAACTCGAGGCATCGTTAGGGGAACATAGAAGTAGTTAGATATGTGTCGGTGGATACAGTTTGTACAGCAGCCTTTGATGGTTGACGATTTTGATGCATTAAGATCGTCCCAAAAGAATGAAAGTTTTTTTTTTCAAACTCGGAGGGTATGCGAAGATTTGATTTTAAACCTAACTGTGGAATATATGTGAAAGTGGTATCGGCCTTATACGAACAAGGTGCCCATGGAAAGCTATATCATGATGTAGAAATATACACCGTATTTTATTTGAAATGTATGGGAAAATGTTCATTTTGGAATACCCTTGTATATGCATTTTGTTAGATCAGCTTAAAATCGAATATAATACAATTTTTGTGGAGCAAAATTTATCTAAGTATCTTCAAAAATGGCGGAGCTGTGAGCCGTCAAGTTTGGGCATTTTTTCAGATATTTCATTTAATATCTAAACAATTGACATTAGAAACCATAAGTTGTATCATATCAAACTTCTTGTCTTTATAAGCTGAATCAAAATATGCAGTAAAATATAGGATATTCTATTTAAAAATATAAATGTTTGCTGTGGCACTAGGCTATGGAGCACCCTGTATATTCCAAAATATTTTTAAAATATGCACTAATAACACATCAATGCTGCTCTGGAAACAGATTTTTGATATCTTCCCCAGTTTGCCCATAAAACAACTTTTTATTATCCTGGAGACACCCTGCATGTAAAACATGATTAACATCCATCATGATCATTTTCTAAACGGGTGCTTTTTAAGGAATACCCACATTCATACAATTCCCTTTCCACTGCACTATCGGATGCGTTTTAGTATGTTTTGAGAGCCATCTATTCTTGGATATGCAGTTGCTGCCTGTGACATATAGGTTGACTAATAAAAAAAACGATTGCAATCCTTGCTTCATTGCTGTATCGAATTTTTATGGGAATCCGTTAAAATGAACAAAACCAGTGCTTACCTTTTTCCCATTGAGATACCACGTTATATTTGCTGCGGGATATGAGGCGGGCGTTGAACAGTTTCCTGTAAGGATAGAGCCAACATCGGCTACTTCCTTATCCACTGTCATTACTGGATCATCCACTGGAACATCTGGAAGTAATGTATTTTCATAGCTATTATATGGTAAATAAAGGTTGAATTTCGAAATTAGCGATACTAAATTTTATTTCAAGGGACCATCTACAAAACGGGTTTCAGTCATTAGCTTGGAAATTAAGGATGATACATTTCGCCTCCTGAACAAAAGTTGTCCTGCAACCAAAGTAACGCTATGATTAGTTTTTTTTTTATATCGAAACAGCCGCGCAGGCAGAAGCCTAAATGCCGGAACACCGCGGCTGCTATGATGATCCCAAAGAAATTCTGTTAATACGATTTTTGAACTGCCTAAGGTTAGTAGAACTGGGAAAAGCTTCCTCCCGTAGTTTGTTCCACAATCTAGACACCCTCGGGACAAAGGAGCGGTCGTATCGGCCAGTTCTGGATGTACGTAGTTTGACACGGTTAGGATGGGACGCCGAAGTCAGGCGGGTCTGTCTGGCAGGCACATCACGCGGCGGCATCGTGGAAGAGAGCTCTGAGGAGCAAAGCCCGTTAGTGTAGCGATAGAAAAGAGCTAGATCGCCGACGGCCCGCCGGTGCGAAAGAGTCCCGAGACTGTCTGTTAGAGAAGAGTCATCGATCAGTCGGACCGCCCTCCTCTGGACAGCATCGAGCATGGACAATGTAGTCGGGGCGGCAGCACTCCAAATGTGTGAGCAATACTCGAGGCTAGGCCTTATCTGGGCCTTGTATAGAGTGAGAAGGTCATGCGGAGAAAAGTACTTCTTAGCCCTAAACAAATAGCCTAGCTTTTTCCCAGCAGCTGCAGCTATTGAAGAGATGTGTTCGTGCCAGATCAGGTCCTCGGTGATCTGGACTCCGACCAGCCGAAATGAATGGCTCTTTGGTAGAACTCCACCGTCCATCGAAACTGTATGAGCGCTAGGACGCTTTTTGTTCGTCAAAGTACAGTACTGTGTTTTGGAAGCATTGAACTGTATAAGATTGTTGCGTCCCCAAGCAGTGATAGCCTCCAGGTCTCTTGTCAGAGAAGAAGGCGTCGCTAGTCTTCTTTTTTCCAGCCCAGCGGCAGAGATCGGCTTGTCACTCTGAATTCCTGCATGTAGAGTGCTGTCATCAGCGAAGCTGTGGAATGGGTTGATCGTGCAGGAAAGGAGGTCGTTGATATGTAAGAAGAAACAGTGTTGGAGCCAAGACCGATCCCTGGGGAACACCCGCGTTGACGTTGTGGGATGAAGAGGAGAATCCGTCAATTACGACGGATATCTTGCGGCCAGAGATAAAGTCAGCCACCCATCTGCAAAGCTTTTCTGGGAGGCCGTAGGATGGAAGTTTGCTCAAGAGGGCAGCGTGCCACAGCTGATCGAACGCTTTCGTGATGTCAAGAGCAACGACATGAGCCTCACCATGAGACTGGATGAGTTTACTCCACAGTTGCGTGACGTAAGCTAGGAGGTCCCCTGTGGATCGTTGGTGCCGGAAACCGTACTGCCTGTCGCTAATCAAGCTGTGACGTTCGAGGTAGTCCAGAAGCTCGCGATTTATGCACCTCTTCATCACTTTACTTATAACAGAAAGCAGAGCTATAGGCCTGTAGTTGTAAGGGTCGGTTTTAGATCCTTTTTTGGGATGGGCTGTACATGAGCAAATTTCCAGGCAGAAGGTGCCGGATTCATAAGTTATCTGGAAGAGACGCGAAAGAACTGGAGCAATCGGGGACAGTTTTTCCAATTTTGAAAAATGGTGAATGTGTGATTGTAGTTCTCGGACCAAATATTAGGAAAATTGTTATCCTGAAAGAAGTATTTTATCGAAAAACTTCATATGAAGGTATTTTGAGGTGATTCTGACTATGATCGTTAGTATGTGGCTTCGAAAATAATGCAAATGCTGCACTTGCAGATTAGTTGAGATCGGTTGATAAAATAAATGAACTCTGTCGCTTGGAAAACAGATATAAATAATTAAAAGTCATTGTCTAATTAGTTATATGCCATTATTTTGGAAAAGGCTGCTGAGATAGCGAAAACGTCACTAAACTATTCCATTCGACATTTGTGCTTCCATTTATTGGCCATTGTAAAGTAGAATTATAAGTTACTTGAAGCAGTCTTCGCACTTGTGCGCTTTTCTTTTCATCTTCAAAATGGACATTACCTTGATTTGACCTTCTGAAGGTCATACTTCAAGACAAGGAAACAACCACGACCTTTCGTGCCCTTGAGGAGCGAACTGTCCTATTGAGTTTTCGATTCCAAAATTAACTTGAAAAAATCAACTTGCATTTATATTGACCTTGTAGAGATCATGGTCAAGGTGTTTTGATGAATACTTATTTCAAAGTTTTTGGTCAAACTACAATAGCTACTTTCACCATTTTTGCAAATCGGACAAACTAGGTCCCCCTGTTTTTCAGAAACTGATCCTAGGGTTGCTATGGGAACTTTTGTTCAGGAAGATGAGGAATAGTTATTGAATTCTCGGAAAAATCTTCGAGAGCAGAAGTCTTTATATGACCAAAGCGATCCTATGATTAATTTTTAAGAAATTGAGGATGGTATTCCAATTTAAAAAAATGGTGAATGTGCAATTGTAGTTTCAAATACCTGGAAAATTGTTATCCCGAAAGAAATATTTCATTAAAAAACATTATAGTAATGTGTTGGGAGGTATCATGTTATTCTGGTTCATGATCCCTAGAAGGTGGATTTATAAAAATACAAATGCAGCGCTTGCTGATTCCTTGATAGGCGGTTAAAACAAATGAATTCTGCCGCCTGGTGGACATATAATTAAATAAAAACCTTTACCAAATTGATTATATGACACTAAGTTGGTTTGTAGTCTGGAAGAGGCAGTCCAAATGTCACTAAACTAGTCCATTGAACATCTGTGGTTTCATTTTGGGCCAATGTAAGGTTTCAACAACTTAAAGCAACGTTCACTCTTAGGCGATTTCCCTTTCACCTTCAAAATGAAAATACCCTGATTTGACCTTCTGAAGGGCGTACTAAAAGCCAAGCAAACAACCATGACCCTTCAGTGCCCTTGAAAAGCGAACTGTCCTAATGAGTTCTCTGAATTTTCGAACAACTCGTTCCAGATCTATTCCAGAATTAGCATCAGAAGATCAACATGGCACTTCCAAACACCTTCCCACACTTCTTTCAGTAAACCATTTGTCAGCGCTTTGGCTCTGACAACAATCGACACGTTCACCATTTTTGTAAATTGGGTAAATTAAATCCTTACTAGGTGCATTCACCATTTTTGCAGATTGAACAATCTAAGCCTTAGTCTGCACATTCACCGTTTTTTTGCAAATTGAGTCCATATTTGCACATTCACCTCTTTTATAAATCAGTCCTGTTTCTCAGGAAATAATCATAGAATAATTGTTTTGGTTCTCTTCAGGAAGGTAAGATAAACATTGTTGAGTTTTTAGACAAATAGACGGGGACCAGCGGATTCGAATAGGTTAGAAGGGGCCACTGAATTGTTTGTCGCTCAATAGATTCAGTGTTTCACTTTTGACTCATCTGTCTACCAACTAGCAAAGCGACAGAGTTTTATCAACATAATAATAATATAGTCAACGCCAAACAAAGTGGCGTGCACGTCATCACGATAAAAATTCCCCGACCTAATGCCTAGGTTTCTATCACAAACAATTGCTCTATTGCAGTTTCATATTAATGTGATATATAAATTGTAAAATGGTCATTACTCTCTTATTATGGTTAATAGTCATATAATCATTGTTATTAAAATATCACATAAGTTGCTTTCTGATAAATTTAGACGCATTATGCGAAATAAAATGTTTTGCAAACGCTCCAATCACTTATCGACATGTAAACGCACTAAACCGATTTCGCAGCGTTGACACATTGTCACCTTGAAACTTATTTAAACTGGGAACTGACATTTGTATTAATTTTGACACTGAATCAATTTGTGGCATTTCAAATCTTTATAAATCCTTTGGCCCCGCATACTGTAAATCAACAACTGTTTGTTTCAAAACAAAATTATTCATTTTACGAGTAGATAAAGGCAATTTTGGTATATAAAGATGCCCAAACAGTTAAATAGTCGGTGTAAGGAACTCGTGGCCTCGTTAATGTACTACTTTGAGCAAGAAAGGGACAACAACGGGCCTTTGTTGCCTTTAAATGCTGTTCAAGAGGTAGGTTACTAATAATTATATGTAATGTATATTAATAATAGTGAAATTTTATTTCATTTTTTGTAGCGTGTTGCTGCTGCTTTAAAAATTAGTTTAAGGACAGTTAGTCGTATTTCCGAGGGTGTGAAAAGTGATGCAAATTTAGAATCGCCCAAGAAAAAGCGGAGTTATATTAAACGTGTAACCAACACAGCGACATTGGATACAAGTGCCATTCGAGAAGTGATCTATAATATGTATCACAAAAGTAAGATCTTATTATAATAACTTATCAGAAATTTGCATTAATTTGTTAACTAAATTATAATGTCATATTACACATGGTTTCAGAAGAACAAGTTACGATACAAACTTTATGGTCTCGATTAAGAGATAGGGCATTATTTGATGGTAGTGCCACGTTTTTAAGGCGGTTGCTTAGAGATCTTGGATTTAAGTGGCTTAAGGAGAATCCGCGACGAGGGCTCATGGAACTACCAAGTATAGCTTTGAAAAGGGTGGAATTTCTAAGGCAATACAATCAAGCCAAGGTTGAGGCCTTATACCAGTTTGTCTTCCTCGATGAAACTTGGATATTTCAAAATGGGACCATAGGTCGCTCTTGGCAAAATGGAAACCAAAAAAGCGTGAAAGCTATTAAAACAGATGGTAAAAGGTATGTACTTTTACACAATTTGCACTATAAAATTTAAAACTAATATATTTTAGATACATTATATTACATGCTGGAAATGAAAATGGGTTTATTGAGGGTAGTGAAGCGATATTTTCTTCGAAAACAAAATTGAGCGATTACCATGGAGAGATGAACCAGGACAATTTTTTGAAATAGTTTCAA